TATAACAGAGATTAAAGGTTTTCATCTTGATCAGGTATTCATTTCAACCTCAGTTTTGTCTTTGTATGTGTGTAGGTGCACATACGTGGACATCCGTGTGGAGGCCAGAAGGCGACTTTACGTGTCATTCCTTAGGAACTATCACCTTGTTTTGTTGACACAGGTCCTATCACAATGACCAGCAGCTAATTGTGTATTAGAGTGGCTGGCCAGCAAGCCCCAGTGACCTCCTGCCTCTGTCTCTCCAATGCTGGACTTGCAAGCACGTACCATAGTACCCAGGCTTTTTTTTTTTCTTTTTAATATGATGTTAGGAATCCAAACTTGTGTGTCCATCCTTACATAGCAAGCAGCATACTGACTGAGGCATTTCCCCAGTCCCTTAAACTGATATTTTTATAAATTAAAATATTTATAAAATCTCCACTGAAATGATGTGCTTTATAATCACGATACAAGAAAAAGATTTAAAAGATGCTTTATTTAGGGACACGGGACTAGGTCTCAGAGTGGATATGACAGTCGGCCAGTGCAAGGTATTGACAGTATCCAAATAAGGGATGCTTGAAAGAGGCAGAGTGAACAGGAGCTCTGTTAATACCTTTTGAAATTTTATATTTTGGATAACAGTGACTGCTCTCTGGTAACACTAAGAATGTTTAATGCCTTGCCGGGCCAAGTGGCACACACCTGTGGCCCCAGCAAATTGGAAAGCTGAAACAGAATTGCTTGATACTGCTATAACACACACACACACACACACACACACACACACACACATATGCACGCACACATAAACAAGAAAAATAATTCCCAGCAGAAACTCATTATTTCAGCTTGAGGCCATAAGAAAGGTACTTCGTACTGTATTTGTGTGAATAAAAAGAGAAGTTAAAACATCCATCCCCCATTGAGTCTCATAGTGCTCCCAGATGTTCCCGGATGGTGGCGTATTGGGTACAGAGAGCCACACAGTTGATACTGTTGACATGCTTGATTTCTATCTGGAGGAGGGAGGGAGGGTGTCATAGAACTGTCCTCACAAATCAAAGAAGCAAATCAGAAGCCAGTAGCAGGTTGCAGGTGAGCAAAGATGAAGTCCAGACCCGTCTTTTGTTATACGGCCTCCAGCCATGAGTCCTACCTGCAATGCAGCCCAGAACGTTGATACTCCAGCCAGAGGATTGGCGCACAGATAAAGCGGGATTACTGAGAGCAGTAAGGAGTTGAAGTACAAATTAAAATGGATGCAAACTAAAATACAAACAGATGGGGCAGCAATGTGGGCAGTGCTGTGGAAACCACACAGTCTTTCACAGTTATTCATGGGAGGAACAACCTAAGCATTTAAAAGAGAGGGAGGAGAGAGAGGAACGGAGGGAGGGGGAGAGAGAGAGAGAACTGGACATGAGGGTGGGGTGGGGCATTTTTCTAAAACACAATCTGAGAAACCCAAAAGTTGTAATGAAATCATTTAGTTGTATAAAAACCTCTTCTCTTGCCCCTCTTTCTTCTAGCACAGTTTCTATTAACTGAGAATTTCATATATGTATAGAATACTTTCTGATCATATTTATCTCCAGACTCCTCCCCAATCTCTCCTCCTGGATTCACCTCCTGCCCTCTCCTAACTTTGTCTTTTTTATTTATTTTTTTATTGGTTATTTTATTTACTTACATTTCAAATGTTATTCCCCCTTCCTGATTTTCCCTCTGCAAACCCCCATCCCATCCCCACTCCCCCTTGCTTCTGTGAAGGTGCTCCCCCATCCAACCACCCTCATCACCCTAGCAGTCCCCTGTGCTGGGGCATCGAGCCTTCACAGGACCAAGGGGTGCCCCTCTTATTGATGCCAGACAAGGCCATCCTCTGCTACATGTGCAGATGGAGCCATGGGTCACTCCATGTGTATTCCTTGGTTGGTGGTTTAGTGCCACCATGTGTATTCTATGCTACCCATACACACACACACACATATGGGGGCATACATTGAAGTGTGGTTGACCTCCCAACGTGTCTTCCATCATAAACAATGTATATATAAACTGAAGCACTTGATCCTGCCAGTTACCAAGTTGATTTGATATCAAATCTTTCTACAGACAGGAGAAAAGATGTTTGTAATACCCACTATCACTTCTTTCCAGAGCATCCTGCAAACCCACAGAACATACCTAGGCAGGGGAGCAACCAAAGAAGAGGCATTTCTTCATCAGAAGAGGGAAGGGCAGGAAGCCTCCAGCTGGCTGGTTCACAGTCCAGCAAAACCACCACGTGACCACACCTCTGGGATGCAGTCCAACTTCTGTATTTACAGATGGACAGAACAGATGCAGGGGGTTTCCAAAACCCAGTGGCAGGGGATTTCCAAAGCCCAGGGTCAGGCTGCTCCTGGGTCTTGTGAGTCTAGGAGGTCAGGTTTTGGAACTGCTAGGACTTCATGGGTGGACACTGTCACACACACACACACACACACACACATACACACACCTTATAGACCCTGATACAAATTTCTGCCATGTTATAATATAGTGATTTTCTTCCACCTTACAAACCCTGTCTGAAAGAACAGAAAACTCAGGGTCGCTTCATCTCATTCTGGACTCTGCCCTCTCTCACTATTTGCAAATCACATCTTTGAAGTATTCCCGCCCAAAACTCATTTAAGACTTATACCACACCTCTCCATGGACTTCACACCTCTCCTCTTGATCAGCCAATCAGAAAAGTTGAGGCTCAAGGAACAACTTTTGCTTGAAATACAGTCAATATCAGTGGTAGACGGCAGAAGCTAAGTTCATCATAGATCTTTCACAAATGTACATGTATATATCATATATGCATACATACCTATGCATACATGTATTGTGGTTTAAAGTGATGTGTTTGGGTAGGCGGGTCACAAGGGGTGGACTTGTGATGGCTGTTCTTTAGTCAACGTAACTGGGATTAGAATCTTTTAACTGGTTGAAGCACACTCCTGGGTGATTCCATAACAACTAACTGAAGATGAAAGCTACCGTTCACCCCTGTGGGCTGAATAAAATGGGGGCAGGAAATGCCAGCCTAGTGTCATTATTCCTCCTTTCTGTTTCCTGACACAATGCACTTGTGCCCAACCTTGATTGACTGGACAAACTTGAACTGTGAACCAAAGTCAGTTCTCCCTTCCTTAAGCTCCTTTCAAGTATTTTGGTCACAGTAACAAAAATGCTAGGATAGGCCGGGCGGTGGTGGTGCACGCCTTTAATCCCAGCACTTGGGAGGCAGAGGCAGGTGGATTTCTGAGTTCGAGGCCAGCCTGGTCTACAGAGTGAGTTCCAGGATAGCCAGGGCTATACAGGGAAACCCTGTCTCAAAAAACCAAAAAAAAAAAAAAAAATGCTAGGATAGTATGTAAATGCAGGTGGTACAGTGTGTGTGTGTGTGTGTGTGTGTGTGTGTGTGTGTTGTGTTTATATAGAAATGTTGTGTATCTTATTTTGTTTTCTGTTGCTGTAACAGAATGCCTGACACTGGGTAGTTTATAAAGGAAAAGAGGTTTAGTTTAGCCAGCCATCCTAGAAATCCAATAACGTAGAGCCAGCATCTGCTTGGGTTTGTTCTGTTAAGAGCCACGAGACAGGAAGTAGACCAAACGGTCATGATTAGGAAGGGACCAAGAACGTGCCTATGAGATGGGGAGAGAACAAATCAATTCCCATGAGAACTATTTCAGTCTCTTGAAACATGAGTCCCACTTAAAGGCCCTGTCTCCTTATACCACTTCATTGGCAACCAAATTTCATCCAAAGTTTTATCAAAACAAACCACATCCTAAACTATATAGCCATAGTTTAGTTCTTATAGCTAGTGTGTTTTATCTGTATAGTTATTTGTATATAAAACCAGTCACCTCCAGCTGTTCATTTGTTAATTCAAACTGTTCTAGTTAAAATGTGGCCATGCACTGCAAGCTTGATCCATTTAATTTGTAACAATCTCAGCATCTACTGAGAGTTTTAGTGTACACAGACTACCATGCGGACAAAGATTCCGTCTCCCCCTTTCAGAGTCCAGCCTGCAAAGGTATCAACTCCTTGCAAAGTGGACATTAATCAGCACCATGCTCCCCCTGCAGCCGTGAGTCCTGGCTTGTGGCTTGCATCATAGACAAGGACAGCCAGATTATGTCAGAGATCCTGTTCACAGCATACAACCACAAAGGAGCCGATTGCAGCAATATAGTGCTAGGTTTATAAATTAAGTACAATGCCCAGACCATGGATTTGTGGTAGGAAAGAACTCTAAAGCCCCGACCAGTTACCCAGATGTTATCAAAGAAAACAACACTCTTAAAAAATTGTGACTTTTCAGTACTGGGCCCAAAGCAAAGATGGTGTTTGTAACCTCCTGCTAGTTCGACTCATTAATAATTTACAGTAATGTGGGCTCCAACTTCTACTTAACTGCACTTCAAAGGGTTAGAGTCATGTTTACCACTGTTTTATTTAATGTAGCCATGATTAATTCACTAAGTAATTATTTTTTTCTTTGTCCTTTTGGGGGAGGAATGTTGAGAGATTTACATAGGGTGTTGTGTTTATCAGCAGAAAATCTTTAAAGCAAGCACATTTTGAGATCTCTCTCTCTCTCTCTCTCTCTCTCTCTCTCTCTCTCTCAATCTCTCTCAATCTCTCTGTCCCTCCCTCCTTCCCTCCTTCCTTCCCTCCCTTCCTTCCTCCCTCTCTCTGTTCCTCTCTCTATCTGTCTCATCTGTTGCTTTTAGTTTACAGAAATTAATTGAAACCGTTTTGAACAAATGCCAGGCTGTCTTTCTGCTTAATCAAACCTTGTAAAAGAACAGTTAATCTGTTACCTCGTACTTGCATCTAAAAATTTGCTAAATTAATTTACTGACAAAGAGAATCAATCACCGTAAAGCATTTAAACAATCCCGGGAACTACAAGCAGCCCTGGAATGCTGAGATGTACTCTTTCTCACTTTGTTTGATAACAGGTCAACGGGCGCAACCTCCTGTCAGTGGACTTTGATCGGACCACCAAGACGGAAAAGATCTATGATGACCACCGGAAATTTCTCCTGAGGATCGCTTACGACACATCGGGGCACCCGACTCTCTGGCTGCCTAGTAGCAAGCTGATGGCGGTCAACGTCACCTACTCATCCACTGGTCAAATTGCCAGCATCCAGAGAGGGACCACTAGTGAAAAGGTGGACTATGACAGCCAGGGGAGGATCGTCTCTCGGGTCTTTGCCGATGGGAAAACGTGGAGTTACACGTACTTGGAAAAGGTATGCCTGTGTTCTGGCGTCCAAATGGGATAATTAGCATGTCCCAACAATCGCCCTGAGCACCAAGAGAAGAAGAAACAGCAACACATGACTGAGTTCCATTTATTATTCTAAGTATCGCTGTGGCAGTCACAGGGGCACGGGGGTGATGAATTTTTGTATTAGCAGAGTAGATTCGCCTTAGTTAAGTTCTCCTATCTGAGTCCCTTTTAAGTGATATATGCTGTAAACAAACAAGCACCAACACCATCCACCTGCCAAGCCTGTACCCTGACAACATTCACAAATTAGACCCAGAGCTTGCAAGGCATTTGTAAATAATTTCTGCTCCGGCTCTTTCATTTAAGAGAGAGCTTGCATTAGCACAGTTAAAACTGTCAGTTTTGCGTTGTCCCCGGCAGAGCTTCAACATAACCATAAAAAGCATGTAGGGCCTATTTATGCATTATTAACCAGAAGAGGCTATTTTCCTAGAAAGCCATACTTTCAGATACTGTGTGGTGTCTCTCTTTCATTTTGCATGTAAGAGATAAGCACCGTAACTTGGGCGCCTTCCCATCCTTCAGATCTGTGCGCACTGCCACAGAATGGAGATTTAGAGCTACGCATGCGCGAAGTGCTAAGCTGTAGGCTGTGCAACCTGAGGTTGGGGCCCGGGTCGAGAGGAATGTAAGGGGGGTCGGGGGTGGGGGGACTGGGACTGTTCCCTAGAACTCACTTCGTAAGGAATAGGATCTACCAAAGAGCATTTTCCTGGATGTTTTATCTGCCTCTGAGACAAGCATCGGCCACAGAAAATGATTGGGTTTTGAGTTCTAACATGCCTCAAATGTTACGGCACTGCGCTCCCAATCGCATGGCGCCAAAGTTACAGGCTCAGCTCTCGACATTCACTGCCTCCAGCCATGTGGACATTAAAAGATATACCCAGAAACGTTTGTCCTCCAGCACATTCGTGAGCCACACAGATAGATCACTGCGGTATTCACCCCAACAATGCTCCAGCAGAGATGCTCGACAAACCACTCGATCTAGACCTAACCCTTACACATGAGCCCATCCACTTCCCAGGCCCCTGAACCAGATTCAGAGCTCAAGGTGGGCTGCTACACCCTTAAGGTACCCTACCAACTCTAAATGCTTCCAACAAAGAACCTCCCGGCCAGACTGTCTCCTCTCCTTAGAAGAGACTCACCCTGGGCCGTGGAATCTACCTGTTAGATTACAAACCTCTTCCGCCTCCACCACTGTGCTCTAGCCACGAAGCATCTGTTTAGAGACCACAGGGTAAGCTCCCTGTCCCACATCCTTGCCTAGAAACATATCTTGCCACCTGATAGCTATCTCATGCTCTGTTCTAACCAGCCCCAAGGGGGCTTCTCCAAGCAGGAGGGGAAGAGACTAGAACATTTACCCCATTTAGACTAAGTGCAGTACCGGGAAGAGTAATAGAAATACCCATCCCCCACAAAATAATACTTGTCATAATGTGGCTTAAAATGTTTAAAGGAAAACAAAAAGGGCATCGTTGGTTCTAGTCGCTTTCACAAAGTGGCGAAGGCGGTTATTGAAATCATCTTCTTGTGCTCATGAAGATCAGAAAACCCAGCGGGGCCTTCCTTATTAGCTCCTAAATTCCCCAAATTCTCTTGACTCTATTTGCTTCCTTACTAAGACAGACACACTAAACCCAGAGTGATTCACAGCCAGACAAGTAATATTTTACTAATTACCATCAAATACAACTTTAAATGCATGCAAAACGAACTCCCACGAAGGGGAGTTGTCCGAGCCTTCCTCAGGGAAACTACAAGCCATGTGTTAGCTTTCTGCTACCGTGACCAAATGCCTGAGATGAGAACCTATACATTGGAGAGATTATAGCTCTCAGCCTCAGAGGCTTCAGTCCACCATCGCTTGGCTCCTCTGTTAATAGGGACCACGGCGAGATAATGGGGTATATGTGTCGGACAACAGTGTTCATCTTACGATGTCCAGGAAGTAATGGGAATGCAAGGAAGAACTGAGAGTTCCGATCTCCCCTTCCAAGGCATGTTCCCCATGACGTAATGTCCTTCCATGAGGGCCTGCCATTTAAAAGTCTCAATACCTCCCAGTGGTACCCAAGGCTGGCAACCAAGTCATCAGCATATGGTCTTTGGGGATCCCTTTAGATCCAAACCATAACAACCTACATGTAAAGTCTGTCCCTGCTCCTGGCCCGAGAAGAAAGTCATCAGGAACCTAAGTCATAAGAACCATGTAGGAAATGGAAAGCCTGAGTCTGGACAACTGAATGTTACCCACTTCTGTGCCGGAATCAAGAGTCCATGCCAGGGTCTCCCACATCGCTGGCCTCCCTGTCTGCCCATCATCCTGCTTTTTCTAATGGGGTCAAAAGAAACTTTATGACAGGAAAAACCAGTGGAGGCCAGCCAGCATCACAGCTTCCGTAGCTAACCTCACTCAGCTAACATCAGGGTTGACCTTCTCTCCTGGCGGCTCCGTAAGCTAATGCCGCCTCTTTCTGTAGTTAACCTGGGTGAGAGGAGTAGAGATTATTTCTGTTTGTCTGTTTAATTTTTTTTTTCTCATGACTCAGTACCAACACTTACAAAGAAGCTAGACACTGTTATGGTAGCACCTGAAGTGCAGTTCAGATTGGGGTCTCTGAAAAAGAAATTATTGAAACATATAGACTTGGGCTGAAGAGATGGCTCGGCAGTTAAGAGCACTGACTGCTCTTCCAGAGGTCCTGAGTTCAATTCCCAGCACCCACATGGTGGCTCACAACCATCTGCAGTGAAGATCCAATGCCCTCTTCTGGTGTGTCTGAAGACAGCGACAGTGTACTCACATATGTAAAATAAATAAATAAATTTTAAAAAAGAAAGAAAGAAACATAGACTTGTCCATACAGATCCCAGATTTGGACACCGTATCTCTGAATCCATATTCGTATGAAGGGCATTTTCGGCTCTGATTCACTGTATACTGATTTAGCCCTGTTTGTTGACATTGATGCTTTATGTACACATTATCCATTTTAGGCTAATTTTATGTTTCTTCCTCATAAATAACATGTTGGCTTTGTTCCTCCCCCAAGTACACAGGAAATTAAAACCTGATTTGGAGTAGCTCTTCAGTCAAATGAAGGGGAAAGCTACCTTACTAAATAATTGCTAATTATATGTAGGATTGCGTTTCCCCTCTGCTATTTTCCCCTTGAAATATTGTCTTCAGACCAGCTTGGTTCGTGCCTGCATTATGGTTTCTCCAAGTCCATTGACAATCTGCTGGTTGGCCGGGAAGGCCTGGAAACAGAGAACAGCACAATCATGACAAGTAGCACATTATGAATCTTAAGCCACTAATTGCAGAACCCTTCGCAATTAAGCATCCAAGCAAATTAGGCAGGGGATCGTTAACACCATGTAAGGTCAAGGATAACTCAATTAAAACGAGAACCATTTTCTCAGGCGGAATGTTTTCTGTGTGTTTGTGGTCACCGAATCTGCTTTCTGTGCGTCCCCCAACCCCAGTTCCCAAACCCTGATAACAGCCTGTGCTCTCTTCACAGTCCATGGTCCTTCTGCTTCATAGCCAGCGGCAGTACATCTTCGAATACGATATGTGGGACCGCCTGTCGGCCATCACCATGCCCAGTGTGGCTCGCCACACCATGCAGACCATCCGGTCCATTGGCTACTACCGCAACATATACAACCCCCCAGAAAGCAATGCTTCTATCATCACAGACTATAACGAGGAAGGGCTACTTCTGCAGACGGCTTTCCTGGGAACAAGTCGGAGGGTCTTATTCAAGTATAGAAGGCAAACCAGGCTATCAGAAATTTTATACGATAGCACAAGAGTCAGTTTTACCTATGATGAAACAGCAGGAGTCCTGAAAACAGTAAACCTTCAGAGCGATGGTTTTATTTGCACCATTAGATACAGGCAAATTGGCCCCCTGATTGACAGACAGATTTTCCGCTTCAGTGAGGATGGAATGGTAAATGCGAGATTTGACTATAGCTATGACAACAGCTTCCGAGTGACCAGCATGCAGGGTGTCATCAATGAAACGCCACTGCCCATTGATCTATACCAGTTCGATGACATTTCTGGCAAAGTTGAGCAGTTCGGAAAATTTGGAGTTATATACTACGACATCAACCAGATCATTTCCACGGCTGTGATGACTTACACGAAGCACTTCGACGCCCACGGTCGCATCAAGGAGATCCAATATGAGATATTCAGGTCACTCATGTACTGGATTACAATTCAATATGATAATATGGGCCGGGTAACCAAGAGAGAGATTAAAATAGGGCCTTTCGCCAACACTACCAAGTACGCGTATGAATACGACGTTGATGGACAGCTCCAAACGGTTTACCTGAACGAGAAGATCATGTGGCGGTACAACTATGACCTGAATGGAAACCTCCACCTGCTGAACCCCAGCAGCAGCGCCCGCCTGACACCTCTTCGCTACGACCTGCGTGACAGAATCACCCGCCTGGGCGATGTTCAGTACCGGCTGGATGAAGATGGCTTCCTCCGTCAGAGAGGCACAGAAATTTTTGAATACAGCTCCAAGGGGCTTCTGACTCGAGTCTACAGTAAAGGTAGTGGCTGGACGGTGATCTATCGGTATGATGGCCTGGGAAGGCGTGTTTCTAGCAAAACCAGTCTGGGACAGCACCTTCAGTTTTTCTATGCTGACCTGACGTACCCCACCAGGATCACTCATGTCTACAACCATTCGAGTTCAGAAATCACCTCCCTTTACTATGACCTCCAAGGACATCTTTTCGCCATGGAGATCAGCAGTGGGGACGAGTTCTACATTGCCTCGGATAACACGGGGACTCCACTGGCTGTTTTTAGTAGCAACGGGCTCATGCTGAAACAGATTCAGTACACTGCCTACGGTGAGATCTACTTTGATTCCAACATCGACTTTCAGCTGGTGATTGGGTTCCACGGAGGCCTGTATGACCCACTCACCAAATTAATCCACTTTGGAGAAAGAGATTACGACATTTTGGCAGGAAGATGGACCACACCGGACATTGAGATCTGGAAAAAAATAGGAAAGGACCCTGCTCCTTTTAACCTGTATATGTTCCGGAATAACAACCCTGCAAGCAAAATCCATGACGTGAAAGACTACATCACAGGTAAGGCGTCTTTTTTTCTTTCCAAGTGCTAAATTACTGTTACCGTTAGATTAACACACAAAGTAACTAGAACTGACCTTTTGAATGGATTCATTTCTCTGAGGATCCATTGAGAAACCACAAAGGGAAAATGAAATACAGTTGCTTCCTACTCTGCCTGACTATGCTCAAGGCCATGGTTTCTGAAATGACACGGAATTCAATCATCTAAGGGACGGGAGGATCCGGAGAGCAGCAAACATGCTAAATTCAGATTCACAAAACTGAAATAGCAACCTCGCCTCGCCTACAGCGGTGCAGCGGTGCGGTCCAGTTCTTTCCCTTGTCTCAGTTGCTGCAGGAGCTCGCTCTCTGGTTACAACAAAACTTTCAAGATAATCCCCTTGCAGAGAGGAGAAGTTCACTGGGACTCAGGAGTCCTGCTGGCCCCAGCGCTTCCTTCCACCCTGCAGCAAGACAGCATGTTGTGGAATGAGTCCTTGGGAGAGCAAGCGAGCCAAGAACGTCATCAGCCAGGAAGCCAGGAAGCCAGGGGTGGGGCAGAGGAGATCAGAATCCCATAGTCCCCTTCAAGGGCATGCCACACTGACTTAAAGACCCACCGTATCCTGCTTGTCTCCAAGGTTCCACCACCTCCCAACAGTAGTAGAATAAGAACAAAGCTTTAAGCTTTAACAAATACACCTCTGGAGGCATTCTGTGTCTGATCTCTGACCTTAACAATGAGATGGGATGACTGTCTGCCATAAAATGTAAGAGTGTAGAAAATACTGTGCTAAGTAGTAGCTACCTCACAAACATATACTGCTGGGGTCCCCACAGACAGACAAACGTGTGTGTGTGTGTGTGTGTGTGTGTGTGTGTGTGTGTGTGTGTGTG